GTTGGTGGGGTATTATTGTGGGGAGGAGAGGTTTGAGGGTAGTTTGGACTCAGAGGAACGGTGATTGAGGGGGGAGGGATTTGCGAAGGCGTTTGGGATGGAGATGAGGAATTGCTGGTATGGGACGGGATGGAGGGGGATTGGGATGAAGTTTTATATAAATGAATGGATGTATGCATGCATGCGTGCGTGCATATATGGTTGGTTCTGGGCAAGAAGCTTCTGGACGAGAAGTCTGATAAGAATAGAGTTGGGATGGAGGACAGGTTAAGATTGGGGGAAGAGATGTAGAGCAGACGTGATGGGCTTATAGCCATCAGTCTTGTGAATTAATGAATTTATGAATTACACCACATTACATGACCATTTTAGCTGAGGTCTGAGGTGTTCTATCCTAGGTCTTTCCGGACAGGTGAAGGGAAACATGTGGTTCTACAACTGTCATAAAGTATCATGAATATTTACTTATACAAAGAGTGTATAAACTAAGCCAAGCCTCGGATTTTAGTTTACTTATCACTAAAGTAGAAGAATTGTTTACTATGTATATTCATTATTCCGCATCAGCAGTAAAATGCGAGCGTCTCAGTGTACCAGTAAGTAGCTACAAATCCACCAAATGCGCCAAGTAATATCATTTCCTACCAGTGTCTGAGAACAACTAGTGAAGAGGGGCATAGAGCGCCGTGCAGATAAATGCTACATCCCTATCGTATCAACCGTCATATCGAAGTAAAAGGCTCATCCTCCCCTTCATTCTCTGGTAGGGTCAGAGCAGATAATGCATATGTAGCGAACCCAAACGATAATCTTTATGCTGCAATATTCCATCATTAACATGCGAGACGAGTCTCGATATACCACATTTCCCGTTCTAGATCCAGAGTAGTGCTTTCCAACCTCCCGTGTATGCAGAATTCTCGATGCGCCGATGCAAGCAGATGTTTAGTGCTAGAGGAATCGCTCAAAGCGGCAACATTTTAGACAAACAAATATCAGGACCATGTGGGCAAAATGGTCCCAAAGGAAATCATGCGCACAGGAACCCACTGGTTTTTCAACCAGAAGATTCCTTCGGCTTCCAAAACTGCATCATGCGACTGATGCGTCTGCTCGTGTGTCCCTTCTCCTTCTTTTCAATATCAACAGGACTTGGTGCTCGAGACTCAATGGAGAGCTTACTCTTCTCGCCATGAGAACTGCTGATCAAGCGGGACAAACTGGCCATACTCGATCGCTTTCGTGTTGCAGCAGCAGATGAGACTGAGGCTGAGCGCTGGCCCTCCCGGAATTGGGGATTATAAGCACCAAGATGTCCACTATCTCGGGTCATGGTTGAGTTACTGCTAGTCAGTGATGGAACATCATCGACAGAATATCTCAATTCAGGGCCAGGTTCTCCAAGTAACAACGATTGGAAACCCTGCTCATCAGTGACCGACGATGGAGCAGTGGAAATACGCTGGGCATCGTACGAAAATGGTGAGCGAGGGGACGGGAAAGATGACTGGGTTGTTGAAGGAGGGCTGCCGGGAGTGATGTAAGGCGGTTGGGGTGCGAAAGGCTGGATATCAACAGGTGTTAACGCTTTCTCGGGGCGTGGACGGAAAGGGGGAGTTGCAGTTGAGTCCGAAGATTGAGCTCTTGAATCTGATCTTGAAGAGCTTGAATCATCAAGTATTTCGACCGGGCTACTCGACTCTTCCTGAATTGGCTCATCGATAAGTGATGTAGCTGAGTGCTCTGACTTGGCATTGCTACCCACAGTCCGGCGATCTCCCTCACTCAAACTGCTGCCCTTTCTCTTGACTCCCCTGATAATGCTTCCGCCGTCTTGATAATCCATCTCAGTGTCGTAAGTTGAATCTTCTGCATCTTCAACCCTAATGTCAATACCCAAACTGTTGTTCGTGCCCTTGACTATCTGGATTGAATCCTCTTTATCTGACGATGTTTTGCTATCCTCCCACTCATCTTCTTCCTCCTCTTCAAAAACATCTTCCATGCCCATTGTCGAGCTGCTTCCAAGGCGATGTAGACCGAACCTAGGATTCTCAAACTCTGGTGCACTCTCCGCACGTCTGTGATAATGCATTCCCGGCCCGGCGAATCCTCCGAGGCCAGCCGCGCTATGCATAGCTCTCTTCTTTGTGCCATAGCCTCTTTGCGAAGACTCCCATTCATCACCAAATGAAGATGGTGTATTGAAAGGACCGAGAGCAGCATCTAGATCTATCATTGGGTTGCTCATCAAATCATCCTCCTGAGAACGGACCTTTCTGGGCTTCCAAGATGCGATATCCTGATCAGGTTTTGGAGACGGATGCGCTGGTTCATTGGGGGCAAAAGCTGGCGCTGCAGAAGTATCATCTACTGGCGTATATGATCTGTTTGGTGGCGTAGGCGATCTACGACTCAGTTTTTGTTTCTGGCTTCGTTGACGAGTTTTACGAGACAATATGGAGCCAGCCCAATTTCGAACCTTCTTCTGCTTCTTGGTTGGCTTCCTAGATAGAGAGGAGGATCTACGTCTCATTGGCGATTCCATAGACCGAATCGGTGCATCTGATGATGGTACAAATTGACCAAATGGAGGTTCGGATAGTACAGGCTCGGTCTCTTTGGGTCCGGATCCAGCACTCGTCGGACGAGACCGTGGTGAACATTCACCAGATGATGTATCGTGGCTAAAGAAGGTCCATTTCTTCGCAGATCTTGGGGTAGATGGAGCGGTTGACGTACTAGCTATAGCTGCCTCTAAAAGCAATGGTATCGAATTTCGTCTCATTGGTTCATCGGATGTTTGTGCGGTGGAATGGGACAAGATCGGTTCCGCAGTTCGTGGTCGGGCGTCACTTATTCTCTTAGGGGGCGATATTCCACGGTTCTCCTTCGAAGGTGGTGAAGACGTTCCAGCGGAGATGATAGAAGAAATGCTATTTGATACCGAATGACCCTGTTTCATTGTGACTGTCGATGAGCTGTCGGACGAGACCAAGGATAGCGGGCGAGGAATGAACTCCACGTTATCTGAGAAACCCACTCTAGCACGGTTGAGAGACCTCGTCGGTGCATTGGGCAGGCTACTGCTTTCCATGGGCGAAGCTGGGCTAGAATCCGGGAACGTAGGGAGATCTGCCTGAACTTGTTGCACGTTGCGTTCAATAGATGGTGAGCATGGGGCTGAACTGCCTCGAGGAGCATTGTTTGGGCTAGTCGAGGGTTTGATAATCATAGAAAGATCGTGTTGTGAAATGGCCGCAGATCGAACGTGTTTATGTCCTCGTCTTCCGCTGGGGGGTGCAAAGCCAGTGGGTGGGGGGAGTACACCGTCTCCTTTGGTTGGTGAAGTCGACATCAAGCCCATTCCTTTGCCAGTCGAGCCATCGCCTCCTATGAACTCACTAGTACCTCTCTTGTGAACTCCAGATCGTCCTGGGATGTTTCTTGGTGAGGCAGGTGGGGTTTGACCCCCAGAGCCGAAGGAGAAGGGAGGAAGTTCTGCTGTTGTGGGTCTGTTCTCATCTTCTACTGTTTTCTCTTCTGTCCTCGGACTAACCAATTCAATGGCAGATACGGGCCGCCGGCCCGTTGCTCGCGAGAAAGATGTAGGCGCTGAAGCAGGCGATGCCCGGGCTGGGAAAACGAAGGATGGTAGTGGAAGGGGACCATCGTTCACTCGGGGACTTTGCTGATCGGGGATTGTAGGTGAACGGGGAGCTACGAAATCACTCATCGGAGAGCGAGGTGACCCTAAAGGGAGGTCGAGGGTATGGCTGTTGAAAGCCATGTTTCCGTGCAATCCTGGAGACCTAGGTACAGCCATCCTTCCAACGCCACAGGGCGCCCAATACCGAGTGTGCAGCTAAGTTGATGTCATGAAGCCAGAGTGGAAACTGGAATGACCTGCTCGGGTGGCCGGGTTCGATCCTTCAAGATGGGGACCGAAGTCACGATGGTCCAACAAGACTGCAACGGCGGGAACTGGCAGCGGAAGAGAGTTAGACAGATCAATAGTGATAAAGAGAGTAAGCGGCAAAAGCGTCTGCGATGGTAAAAGAGCCTGCATACAGTTGATTTTGGAGAGTTGGAGCCTGGGATCGATTCGCGGAGGCCGTAGTGTTGTCCGAGGCGGCCGGGAAGATGGTAATGTTGATGTTGATGTGAATAAGGAGCGTGGGGTAAGGAACGAAACGGCCAATGACCAGGACTATCAGAAAAGATGCACTGGTGAAGAGGCCAAATTGGAACTGTTGATGTTGTTGATGTTCTCAGAGTCTGGTCTGGTTTGGAGGATGATGAGGGAGTTAATACGAGGAGGCATTTAGCGAGGCAGCCAAAAGAAGACTAGGTAGGTCGGTAGGGTAGGGACTAGGGAGGTAAGTACAGTAACCAATTGGCGGTTAAAACGGTGGCGGATCCAAAGGAGATTGATTGATTGAGCAGGGCAGGGCAGCGCAAGGCAGGGCAAGGTAGGGACAGGTATAAGGCCGCCTAGCAGTCTAGGGATGCAAATCTATCAGACGATTGAAAAATTACGAGGAATAGTACTGTAGGACTAATACGTCTACGACGCTGGATGGGCTACCTGGTAGTGGGTATCTACAATACTTTCTAAATTTACCTAGGAGTAGTAGTAGTAAGTTTAGGTTTGCAGAGGGAAAGCAAAGAATCGAATTATTATCCAGGTCACAGCATGTAGGTTAGACATGTACAGACGCCTGTACAGTACAAACTGTACAGTAGACGCGTACAGTAGTAGCTTCATGGTTATCTATCCAGAATGCAAGGCAAGGCAAGGGTCCCAGCCCCGGTTTTCATCGTCAGGGGTGATAAGAGAGTTGGGGCAGATGCAGAGTCAGGCGTACAACAAGATCGCTCGGCGTTGGCCACAGTTACATTGCCCCCCAATACAGTACAGTACTGGCTCGGCCGTTGAAGAAAAGATGCTGTGCTGCGTTGTTCAAGACTTCCTACCTTACCTGACTTGAGGTATGTATGTATGTACAGTACCTGTATGCAAGACCAGGACTATGGCCCCCAAGGTTGTTGTCCAGAGCAAATCCTCATTCGTGCTTTTCCTACACCTGCATGCATCATCACCCGTCTACCCCGTCTCCGGTATGAACTCGAATTTATCCTTTTACAGCAGGCAGTAGGTACTGAGTACAGAGAGTGGAAACATTGTTCTGCCGTACATGCATGTACCGATACCTCCACCATTCCGCCTGAGGCCTATCCTTCTCCCTTCCTTTCCTTCCCTTCCCTCCGTTCCCTTTCCTTTTCTTTTCTTCTCTTCCCCTTCCTCTCCTAGAAACTGCCCTGCCACTTCAAGGTGCGGGGCAGATGCAGATGCCCAATGCTCTACCGTATCTCACGCGACAAAGATAGAAACGACACCGTCATCGATGCTCTGATTTATTATTGACAGGTGACCAAAGCTCAATACGGGGTAAGAGTAAATATGCTTCCTATACCGGAGCAAGCGTGAAGTATTCGTCTACTTCTGGCGGCCCCTGCCGAATAGTTTTATGAGAGTACGAATCTTGCGAGATTTATCCAGGGCCCTTGCAGGGGGAGCCAGAGACAGATCTTCCTGTCCGGCAACTGATGTTCAAATCGGGAGGCAGAGGACCAGGTGTTTTGCATGTCACATTTTCCGAGTCCCCTGAATTTCCTGAAAAGGCTGAACGGGAAGATCACCTCAGCTGAGCCACGTGCACTAAAAACTTGACCAATCCAATCTGGTTTGAAGCTGGAACAGACGTGTTCTGACCGTTTGGAATTAAAGAGTCCAAACCAAACTCCTGGGTCTTTTAGGTCTTGAAGAACAGAACATTGGGAACATTTTCCCCATCCCTCCTTGGACTTTTGTCCGTCTGGAGGTGCAGTGCAGTGTCCGGAGCCCCTCTATCGCGACCAATGCAAGTGATGGGAAGAGGCCACTCGGGAGCACCGACCGTGCCTGCAATGCTCTACTTCCGCTTTAGCGTAGGAGCAGAGATCCATGATCCAGGAACTCACATAAGCCTCTAACTAGTAACAGTAAGGCTTGATATTTTGACTTGTTTGAGATCTTGAACTATACGCTGACACTCGAATCTCATTGGTAAAGAGTGGGAAGGTTCGCAACAGAGTCTCTCAGTCCGTCAGCCTCTTCCACATCAAAGCGTAGTAAAGCAGTGAAGAGTGGAGACGCCGACGCCGAGGGGTTGAGAACTTCTACCTGGTCAAGACAGCAACACAAGCTTCCATTGAAAGACAAGATCGTTACCTGTGAACCGGTAAATGTAACTCTCGCCTCAGTGATACAGGTGATACAGTATCTCCCAATTTGTCCCCATCTTGCCTCTAAATTTGCTCCGACTACGGAACATTTATTGAACCAAATAATCATTGCCTGCCTTCTTGGGAACAATAGATAGATAGCACTATAAACATAATTCAATTATGCGGTGTATTAGATAGACAGATTTAAAGCTGAGAAAGCACTATTTTATTCAAAGTATTCTGGCTAAAGCTCTCACTTTGAACCTGTCTAAGGAGAAATGAGTAACTTTTGTCGTTTGGAAGCGTATAGACTTACAAGAAAATATAATGACATCTGTTGGTATCACAGAGGTGATCACTTCTTACTCTGCTATAGCATATTGGTAAGACTTCACTCTGTTTTTGGTGGTTTGTATTGTGATGTCCAGATCATGGTGTTGTGACCAAAGCGAAGAGGTGATGCCTCTTTCGCTTACCTAAGCTACACCAAGTCACATGACTAGAAAGACTCTCACCAATGACCCCTTATATCCCGACAACATCAGCAATTGTTCCAGAAGTATTCAGATGGCCTTCAAACTAGAGTTGTAATTTTTGGTTCAAGGCAAGGTTTCGTTCTCTAATATCGCTTCTGATATCTTACTGTAGGGTAATTATCTTATCAAGCCGAGATATTTTTTCGCTTCGATCAACAACGACAACCCAACCTCGTGATGGTACACGGCCATACTTCATAACATCAAACGCCACAACCCCTTGAGTGCGGATGTGAAGAAATGATGAAAAGCTCCTTAGCAAGGAAATTTCCCTTCCTATCAGCAAGGACGACAGCGAGACCTGTAATCCACAATCATAATGCTTCACAGTGTCACATAAGAGGAGGTTTTTTCATGAGCATCAGATCTACGCATGGCACTTCAAAGCTTCTGCCGGACGACTCTTCAAAGCCTCTGCCGGAGGACACTTCAAAGCTTCTGCCGGAGGGTCTAGAGCTCGGCTTTCCTCGGCAAATGACGATATTCGCAAGCAAACGCAGCGCGGGAGTAAGTCGTTGTCCTCCCTGATGCAAGATGTACAAGCCCTGCTAACTACTAGCAAGGCTCAAAATTCTGTCATAAGGGGTTTGAAATGGCAATTTTGCGCTTCAAAAGCCTCCTTGGTGCATCAGAAAGAACCCCAAGGATTGGTAATTCTGGCAACGCCCAAATTCGCAAAATGGCTCGAAGATGATGCGGATTTTATTCCCAAGGTCTTGGAAACTATTATCAGACTCCCAGATTCGTCGATACCAAATTTGAGCGCAACAAATCCTCTTGAGATCGATGTTATCTGTGCGTGTGTCGATGGTCTATCCACTATAGCGGAAAAGGCCATGCAGAATTGGCGTGTGGCCCAGGAGGGTTTCTCGTTTCTGCATGGAAGCGTGGCCGATATTCTTCCCAACCTTTGGGATGAAGAGACCCCGGCTGTGAGCAGCCAAGAGACACCTTCAAGCATCACCTTCTCCGGACAGAACTCATGGGAATACAATGTCACTTTGCCCTTAGCAAACACACTTTTCCAAACCGGAAAGTTGTCTTTCCTACGAGCTTCGAGATGGCGCAGGTCGCTGGATCTCCCTTTCGTTAAACTCAAAGCTATTAACAAGAGCCACCAAACTATCAATGTTTTTGATGGCATGGAATCGAATGAACTCTTGACTTACATACCGGCAATTCCACTTACTCCGGCTCGGCCAATTGTGAACGGCATGGGCAACATTGTTCGAAAAATTGACTTTGGCGCCGAAGGCTCAGGTCCGGCATCTCGCGAATTGGAAGCGTGCGTGGATCAGTACCGGGACAACATTTTCAAGGTTTCCAAGTCTACGGATACAACGCCATTTGCTGTATGGGCTCTCGTGGTTCCAGAAACAGTCTTACAAAATAACAGATTTTCTTCACTAAATAAACTGGACTTGTCAATTCTCCAAGCCCGAGTCAGGGCCTCGAGTGACACGCGCCACGGCTATGTTGGCCATTGGATTAATCAAGGGGCTACGCTGTGTCGTGTTTGTATGTATATTCTTTCCTTCGGCGCTCTTTACCTAATACATTTCCTCCCAATTTCATCTTAAATGGCAGCCATCATGCTTCCAAACACTAACAATAGGCAGTGAGTGGTGGAGGTGGTTGGGGTGCCAAGCAAGGTCTATTGTCGTTAGATCCCCAGAGAACGTACAACAAAGACGAAGAACCTGAATTAGATTTCCTCAATGGGTCCCTTGAGGAGCAGCAGATTTCTGCACTTGGTAATCTAGCCCAGCCCGGTGCTTATATACAATTTTTCGTCAGCAGCACAGGAGGACTCAGGGCGAATCCAACAAGGCGAATGAATAAATACGATCCATACAAACGAACCGTAGTCATTGGCACTACACCCAGCACCATCGACGACATGCCAGCTGAGACAGTTAATATGGGTACCAAGCGTGTCCATATACGGAATTCTCATTTTGGATGTGTCTCTCAATCAGGGATCTATCTCAGCAAGAAGGATCCTGGGTCCAATCCTAATAGCTCCGAAAGCCCCCCCATTAGCACGAAAATCGACCTACCCCGGTCTCATGTACACGCCTGGATGAAGTCTGTGGTTATTTCCAAAAAAGATACCGAGGAGGGATGATAGCCGGATGTGTCTGTTGTTTTTGAATAGGGTTGGAGAAGACGAGGAACAGCTTCATGATAGTTTTGTGGTTGCCCTGCTACCAGTAGATAGATGCTGAGATTCGAAGGTGGCTATGTTGGCATGTACAATAGAGGATTGCGAACCGTAGCGTGTAAAATGTGTACTAGTAGTCGATGGGGTTTGTAGTAAATTGGCCGAGGTGTAATTATAATGAAGCATTTAGTAGTTGAGGACCAGTAGAACATTACAAGTCGTATGTTTGCAACAAAGAATACAAATGTAAGATGATCTCAACCCTCATACACAGGACGGACTTACTGCTTTGGTTACCTTTGTTGACTTACTATATGAGCCCTCCTAGATTCATTCATACTACTGGCTGGAGGGAAACTATCATTAGGGGGATGGGGGATTATCACGTGGTTCAATATTTACTCTACACGGTTTGACGCTTACCTCCGTAGCGAACCTCATTGACGAAAACACCCCAAACAACATCCCCGCCTTTCGACCTTCCAAGCGCTCTCCAACATTATCAAGACGACATATATTCCTAAACCTTTGTACGCATTTCGATCTTTCAAGATGGATGTGGATCGCGCTCTCGACGAAATAGTGTCTGAACGCCATGTAAGTTCCCGTAGCGCTTCATTGTTCAGCCTTGCAGCTGGCCTCGAGAAGAACGCGCAGCTAACGACTCTCGCAGAGAGGTGGACGACCTCGAGGACGCCGTGGTGGCCGCAGAAATGATCGGAATGACTATCCTCGTGACGGCATAAGAAAGGTATACTAGAAGACACAATTCCAATCCTCTGTAACCTGAACTAACATATGCCCTGGCAGGTTCATACACCTCCTCCTCCTCCCTCGTACCCAATTGCTCTCCGAAACTTCCTCAGACCTCATCGCAGCCAGACACCGCACTCGATTCTGTGAAGGGAAGTACATACATTGAAACATCAGCTAACCTGGGCCTCTCTTCGTTTTTGCACAGTCGACTCGAGAAGACAATAGAAACATAGACTCGTAAGTCCTTTATCTGCCATATACGGAGTACATACTGATATCTGCAGTGAGTGGGTTCACGATAAGTTTGATGACAATTGTAGGCAAGCCGTTTTTGCTCTTTCGGACCTTCCGCTCACGAATATTCAGCCAGTCAACGACCCATGCGCAATGATAGACGTTACTCTCCGGAGCGATCCTAGTACGAACACTATACGACTTTCTAATTCATCAGTTGACCTTTTCTAGCGACGCTCCCAGTGCCAAGCTCCGTGTCGAGAATCTACACTACGAGTTGACGGAGGAGGATTTGGATGTAATCACATCCAGGCACTTTTCAATGTGGCAGACGCTTATACGAAACAGGATCTATTCAATCGAATTGGCCCAGTTATCAAGCTCGAGCTTCTGTACGACCGCTCCGGCCGCTCAGATGGCGTCGCCTACATTACCTACGAATCCCATTACGACGCCAAGAAGGCGATTCGGGAGTTTGATGGTGCAAATGCAAAGGGTATGACCTTCTTAAAAGCATATAGTATCATCCTAATACCTTCCAGGACAACCAATACGCCTAACGGCCGTCCCAACAGGTCCCACGGGAGGAGGCCGTCGTAATCCCTTCGATTCCGTCGTTGCGCCAGGCCGTCCATTGGAAGACCGCATCTCAATCCCCAAAGGCCGCAACCGTTCCGATTCGCCAATCCGCCATTCAGACGTCAGGGGCCCACCACCCACCAATGTCGACCGCTACGTACCAGGCCAAGGCAGCCGCTCACGCAGTCCTGCACCCCGCCGAAGAGATGGCCGACGTCCTGGTGCGCGACGAGAGCGTGTGGAGAGACGAGGAGGCCGTGGTGGTCGGGGAGGAGAGAATCTCGCGAGGGATGGTAGACCAAAGAAGACGCAAGAGGAGCTTGATGCTGAGATGGAGGATTATTGGGGTGGGAAAGAGAACGGGGCTAGTGCAGATGCTCCTGTTGAACCTTCCGCGCCTACTGTAGACGATGTTGAGATGGTTGAGTAAGAGATGCATTGTGTTTTAAGATGGCAATTTTTCTTTTGGAAAGCATTGCGCTTGTATTGACGTATTAGATGCACATGGTACGCTGCGTCGACGTATATTCTCGTAATAAGACAACCATTGCTTTGATCCCCTCAACGGCGTCCAAACATATTCCCCATTCAGTCAGTCACACAGGCAAGGCATTTCATAGTAAGTTTTCAACCAGAATCCTCTCTCCTTGCCTTACCATTCAACCCACAGCCCTCCGCAGCATCATGCATCTCGTTACGCATCCATTCAACAGTACGGAACAGAGTAGAATATTGATTAGGGAGCCATTGAAACCTCCGTATCAGCTATATATACCAATTCTTCTTTACAAGTACAAGATTACTATTGATAGTGTTTCATATTTGTCCATGTCCTCCTGCCTGCCTGGCTCTAATTTTTCGCCAACCAACCGCCGCCGATATGTGCAATGCATATGCTTTCATTACTTGATTCCAACAAATGAAACTTTACCACAGATAGTGAAGAAGTCGTCAGTTATGCAACTGCCTCCCTCCTAGTACCCCAATTAGATTAATAGAAGCACAGTGTTTGTCCAGCTATTGAATCAAGACACATCCTGTATGTCGAGAGCAAAGACATACATGTCGCCCGAAGAAGATATAGTTATTATGCCGCTAGATGGATTGACCAGTGCCCGTGCGAGTACGGTTGGTTGTACTTGAGTAAATATATATAGTTTTGAAACGTGGGCTTTTTGGGATGAAATAAATATCAGATATGTGTGCTCCAAAAGGAGTTTGTTGGTGTGGGGCTTCAGACTGAAGTGGCTGGCAAGATAAAAGTGTCTTTAAAAGCCTTCCTGAGGCTTGATAGTCGGGACTGCCCTTCGCCTTTGCGGCCCCTGGTTCGTGAGTCTTCAGATAAGGGTTCGGTTTGGATACAGTCTTGCTCTCGCCGAAGAATCGCCCTGGACTATCGCCTCTCACCTCCTGGTTGAGAAATCCTGAGAAGTCGAATTCAACCATGGACCACAGGATGGCCATTGGAGGGTAGTTTAAAAGTCCCACCTGTACCGAAACGTCGTCTTGCACCTGCGCTACCACAGCGCTCTTGGCTGTGACGTTCTGTTCTTAAAGGCACCCCCTAGCATTTCGAATGTTCGTCCTCATCAAATGACTGTTCAGCGTCTTCATACCCATTTCCCGCTCCTCCCTTGACCCGACATGTTATCAAAATGAACTAACTCCCTCGCAGGAAGTTCGTGGATAACACTCAGTGTATCCGCCGATCTTGCAGATATCGATCTTCCCGGATACGATTGAAAGTAATCCTTCTTCCCTTCAATTTCCGGACTCTGGAGCTCGGTGCTTACTGCATCCAACTCGCTCCCACTGAAGTAGGTCAATGACGGCGATACCATGACTGGTTGGTACTGATAATCATCCCGCTTTAGCGGCTCAGAGTTCGAACTAAGGGAAAACGATGGCAGTGAAGACCGCGCTAGGGAAGATCCTGGTTGAGAAGGCTTTGGCGAATGGGCTGGCATTGATCGTAATTCTGTACGTATGTCTCTTGTGTTTCTGTATTTCTTGCGCAAAATGATAAATCCAGCAACGAGCACAGTGAGCAAGACAGCGATGCCAATTGCAATACCGGCGTAAAGTCCAACACTGGTTTTCTTGTGCGTAGTCGAGGTATCTGAAGACAGTGAAATAGCCTGAATACTCGATTTCGCATTCGCATCCCATTTTCGTTGAGATACAGAGAAGTTTGAGCGCTCGTAGTCTGCGATGAGGTACCTGAAATGAATTAGCACCATATATGAAGACAACAGAGTATGCACGGACGCTTCTTGGAGAAATGCTCGTCCCAGCGTAGTTTGATTGTTGTCTGCAGCTCTCTTGAGAGGAAAATATCTCGTGTCGTTCTGAACCAAAGGCCACTGCGCAACCAAGTCGAAAGCTTGATAAGGAAGTACAATATCCACCAGCACCTTTGACTTCTCGTCGGTCAAAGTGAAAGTAATATTTGCCGCTTCTGACAGTAATTGTGTATGCAATGTGTCGTTGACAAGGTAGAGTCCGCTAGGAGTGTCATAAACAATACCGAAAGCATCCTCAAACTGCTGGCAAACTTCCTCGGGGAGATAGAGATAGGGCATAGTAGAGTCAATGGATGCTGAAAACGATGTTGAACCAAGTGTCTTGTTCCCATTTTTAGAGGACATTGTGATCTTGTTGACATTGATCGTCAGGTCAGAAGTAGAACCAAAAGCCATGGTGAGCTCATTGGGTTCAAATAGTGAGGCATCGTATCCACCAAGAGTGAGGCTCCCCAAGACCTTGTTAAATCGGTATTGATTTCCCGCGGTGTAGGCGTACGACAGAGAGGGGATGAAGTTCTGTTCTTTTAGGGTCGACAGATAGCTTGGAACTGGGCTAGTCATGTAGGGAAAGTTGGTGGCAGCAGGGTTCACACCAAGCAGTCCCAGAAAAAAGTCCTTCGTTGTGATTCCTCCAACAACTTGATCACCCAAGGCCGGTAAAGAGTCGCCGAGGGAGACATTGTCATAGCCATATACTCCATTGCCTGAATACCCAAGATTGGTGTCAATGCCCAGGGAAAATATACCCTCAGGCGAGTTGTTGTGAATCCTGGAACTTCAAATCAGTCTCTGGCAAGCCAAGATCTACATCTTATTTTGATGTTACACAAGATTTTGTGAATTGACGATCCATGAGCTTCCTACTTGCTTAAGTTTTCCATTTCTCTCATCGGTCTCTTCGCACGCTCACTCGAGTCGAAGATAAGATATTCCATCCAAAATTGAACAATACATGTTTGGGTCGTGGACTCGGGGAGTGGGGTGTACGTACCACGATGGGACATAATAGGACGACGATCCATTGATTTGGAAGAGTGCTCCACGACTGTTGGGACAATTCGAAGGATCTGTTGTATTACACCCTTCTGGTAGCACTACTAACGGCTGATTGCTCGCAGTTGAAACCATGACCCGAACGCTTTGAGGCGGTGTCCCAACCCGAAGAAAAAAACTTGACCATGGCCCATCATTTCCATCCCTGTAAGGCACGAGGTCTGTTAGACTCGAATCCGCAAATATTGGAGCCTTGTGTTGGAGTTGGAGTTGGAAAGGAAGACGCGAACGTACCAAGACTGGCTTGGAGGAACAACCAGAGGCGTGGCAGCGGCCTCCAAACTCCTAGGCAGACCCAGAAGCTGCAACACCATGAAGGCCGCCAAGGCACTCCAGGAGAGCATTTTGGCAAAGATTGAAAAACGAAAGATTTATCAAAGAAGTATCAACATACTTGAGGTAGGATGACTTTGCGTAGGGCTAGCCACTAGTCATTCGCCCCCAGATATCTAACGCGTGCTCCGACAACGTGTGCAAAGAAAGTGAAACGAGCGCCAACAAGTGCATCTGCCGGAAGAAGGAATTTTGAAATGCAATAATGGAAACTACCTGGAAGTAAGTAACCACTTGGCTGGATTGGTAGGTGGGCCACTGCATAATCTCCAGCGATACCCAACGAGAAGGAGCGCCTCGTACAGACAGACACGTTCCGGACCTGTCTCGACAGCCGCGCAGCCTCCGTCAGCATGTAAATTTAAATTCGGAAAATGCTGGCGAGGCGACCGGGAATAGCCCAAATGGGTGATGAGGCTCAAAGGGACATGGTTATGAACTTATGTGGAGTGGAGTGGGTGGCAAGGGCAAGGGTAACTTGATAGACATTCTCGGGTTCTGAAAATAAGTAGATAGCTGGGTATTATTACTTCTTTCGCGGAAGGAAGGTTCGAAGAAGCTTTCTAAGAACGAGTTAGGCCAGGTTTACGAGACTACCTCGTAGAGAAGCTCGTTTGCAAAAGGGTTTGATCGCCCATTATTCGCCAGCTCGTCAGATGGTCCACCAGTTGAAAGATTCAGGCCAGATCAGGTTTAGTGCAGATCCTCCGCCCTAAATAATGGAGGCCACGTTCTGAAGACTGAAGCAGAGTGTTGGCGTGATGGAAAGAGTGAGGATCAGCAAATCTCCCAACCTGCTTCTGATTCTTGGTGTTGTGCATATGGCACTGTGCAGACCGGCATAGTCAGGTACGAAGTATAGTGAAGTTCACCACGGAGTACAGTATAGGGCATTACCTAATGCACTCAGGTACAGTATACAGTGCGGAGTAGGTACAGTATATTGAAATCTATTTTTGTATGTTTCTGCACGCGGAACCCAGTACCAGTGTTCAAGTGGTGCTTTCTCTTCCAGCCGATTGTCGGTTCCTGCACCGTGGGTATGAATGAAGTAGAAGTAATGATTGCTCCAAGCTTGTCGCAACGCGTCTATCCTTCAAGGATTCTTGAAGAAATAGCATTATTACGAAGTATACGGAATACTCTGTAATGAAATGGTGGAATCCCTGCACAGCGAATCCTTCTACAAGACAACAATCTCGCCAGTCCGAGCCGAGCCGAGTCCCTTCACTCCTCCTCTCCCCTCTGCCCCTCTCCTCCTGGTGCTAATGCTCGCCCTCGCATCCAGACGTTAGTAGGCAGGCTATTTTACCGCACTGATCCTTCGCCCTGGCCCGGTCGGCCGCACCAACCCTAAAGTACTGCTGATGTTATTTTTGAGGCTATTTTTGGCCCTGCCAACAGTGGCTTGGCCCCACCTGCTGTGATTATCACTGTCCAAGCTTTGCTGTCGTGCCTCTCGTTGCCCTCCTACAGCGAAGATGGAGCACTGCCTCCCCCGAATAATAGCAACTGAGTATTCAAACGACTACCCCACCGCCACCTTCCCAATTTACTCCCACTACTCCTGTGCCGCTTGCATCTTTTTATGGAAGTAGGGAACTTAGCCGTTCCTTCGTACTCACGGGTTACGGGTCATTGACCATGGCCCATGGCCCATGGCATGGCATGGCATGGCATGGATTATTATTGCGACCCTAATCCCAACCTTCGTCTGCCATCCAAATGAGGCACCACTAAGGCGCAGCTCCAACACTTTCCTCACTACCAGGTAGGATTATAGTCAGCTAGCATGCCACCTTTGTTCTGCTTGCCTTCTTTTGCTTTTCTCGTCATCTTTTTTGTCGCGTATAAGTTTTCTTGTTCAATGGCTTTATAGTGTTGGGAGGGAATATTGGGACTCACCTTCATTATGCAGATCCGTTATCATTTTGCTCTTGGAGCTCTGGCTCTCGTCCATGCGGCCATAGACATTCCTCTAATCCCCGAGGTCTTTGAAGGTAAGCCGCCAACCATCGCCCAGCCTGTCAAGATCAGACACTTACACATTTTCAAGATGGGGTTTTGGGCATAAGGGATTCGAACTCGACAAACAATGTAGCTTCTTCTTCCGTTGCTGCTGTAGTAGCCACTGTGGAATCAAAAACTTCGACATCAGCGACCAAGGTGGAATCAAGTATGCTTCCCTCCTCGCGTATGCAATCAATACTTATTTTCATAGCTCCTACAACTGCCCAAAGTCTTCCTGCTACAACCCAAACAAAGTCAGCAACCTCATTAGCAACTAGTAGTGCAGCGCAAAGCTCCCCGGCTACTACAACTCAAATAAAGGCAACGACCTCACCAGCGAGCAGTAGTCCCGCGCAAAGCTCAACAGCCGCAATCCAAAATGGAGCTGTTGTAAATCTGGCTATCGCGAGCAGCAATTCGCAGTCTTCCGCAGCATCTAGCTCCGATGTGAACAAAACCCCCACCACATCTACTCAGGCTCCTCCCACTTCTACAAGTCAAGCCAAAGTAGCAACCTCACCAGCGAGTAGTAGTCCAGCGCAAAGTTCGACAGTTGCAACCCAAAATACAGCTCTAGTTGCTGAAAAACTTGCCGTCGCAAATAGCAATACGGGGTCAGTCGCAGCATCTAGCTCTGCTGAGAAACAACCTGCCACATCCACTCAGACTCCCCTGGCTTCACCCACTCAGACCCAAGCAACGACCTCCCAAGCTAGCAGCTCAGTGCAAAGTTCCACAGTTGCAGTTCTAAGTGCCGAGAACCTTGCTGTCATTAACAGCAACACAGAGTCTGCCGCAGCATCTAGCCCTGATGACAAAAAACCTACCACATCCACTCAGGCACCCCCAGCTTCAACAACTCAGCCCACAGCAGCAACCTCACAAGCTAGCAGTCCAGCGCAAAGCCCGGCAACTGCAAACCCAAATACAGCTTCAGTTAATGAAAATACTGCTACTGTGAGCAGCCATTCGGATACTGCAGCAGCTAGCTCTAATGAGAAAAAACCATCCAACACGGCTACCCAGCCAGCTGCTGCTTCAAGCAACCCAGCCACCAGCCAACCAGCGAACAATTCTCCACCGTCGTCAGGCAATAGTGCTCCTCAATCGACAGTGCCGGCTGAGACATCAGCACCTCAACAAAAGACAGAAACCGCGACAAAAGATCCAAGTAATGGGGCATCTCAATCGCCAAGCACGCAAACCTCGGCATCAGATGCTAAACCCTCTTCATCAGGCAATGGCCAGCAAACGATACCCAGTGGAGGAATCAATTTGGGTCTGAGTGTTACTTTACCTGTTGGGGGAGATGGTGATGGTAAGACAACGCAGACGTCTGCCAATTCTGTCCAGACAAGCGCAGGAAGCAACCCGTCAGGAAATCAACCTCCAGCGAGTATATCTACTTCAGCCGCTGCGAATCCAGGAAATCAGCAGCCAGCAAGTACGCCAACAAATGCCGGGAATCCAGGAAACCAGCCATCAACGGGTACGTCTACGGACGTTGTGACACCAGGTCAAACTGGAGGCGGATCTCCTGGGGATGGCTTGTCTTCGATTATTGGCGGCGTGACCTCTGTAGTTGGTGGAATAACGTCTGCCCTTGGCGCTGTATCCTCCCTGCTTCCAAATGGGGGATCTCCTGGCAATAGCCAGCCAGCAGTAGGCAATTCACAACCAGCGAGTACCACACCTGGTACTGACAGTCCTGGAGGAAGTCAATCGACACAGAATCCTGGTCCCGGTGGTCAACTATCAAGTATCATAGGTGGCGTAACCTCAGTTGTTGGCGGTATAACTTCTGACATTGGTGGCGTAACCTCAGTCGTTGGTGGTATAACTTCTGATATTGGTGGCGTAACCTCAGTCGTTGGTGGTATAACTTCTGATATTGGTGGCGTAACCTCAGTCGTTGGTGGTATAACTTCTGACATTGCTGGCTTAACTTCCTTGCTTCCAACAAATATACTTCCAACTGGCGGCGGAACTGGCGGCGGATCTCCTGGCAACAATAACCCGACGTCAACCCAAAATACTGATGGGAATAATCCAACACAAGTTCCTGGTCCTGGGGGACTATCGAGCATTGTTGGTGGTATCACTTCTGTTGTTGGCGGTGTAACGTCTATAATTGGAGGTATAACCTCTGATATTGGCGGAATTACCTCTGGACTTCCAAGTGTGACTATTCCCGTTGGGCCTGGTCAAACCTCGGTTCCAGATGGTATAACGATACCGGTAGGTAGTGGGAGTGCAGTTATTCCTGTTGGACCTGGTCAAACCTC